GAGCTGCATATCCATGCTGGCTGGGTGGCATGTGGACTCAGCCCTCATGGAGAGCTGCCTGGATCTGACGTTGTGACAGGAGGTGCCTTCTGAAATGGCAGCATCTGCTTCTCTGTAAGTTGAACAGATTTCCTCTTCATCCCCCTTTGCCAAGGGTCACGCTCCAAGTATGTTGGAAAAAAGGTATATTGAAAGGTTAAGAGGAAATCTTTAGCTTGGAAAGGCTGAGGGAATTGGGACTGTTCAGCTTGGAAGACAGAAGGCTTTGGGGTGACCTCATTGTGGCCCTGCAGTGTTTGAAGGGAACCCACAAGAGAAATGGAGAGGGACTCTTGACAAGGGCCTGGAGCGACAGGACAAGGGGCAATGGCTTCACACTGACAGAGAGGAGGTTTAGATGGATATGAGGAAGAAATTGTTGCCTGTGAGGGTGGTGAGGCCTGGCACACTTAAATATGTCAGGCATAGGACAGGACATCCTTGGAAATTCTTGTTTTTCCCACTGTCAGGCAACCACTAAGTATAGATGTGTGATGTTAAAGCAGCTGGAGTTTAGAGGGGGAAAAATGCCACCAAGGCTGCTAAATAAAATCCAGGCTGTTTTCTTTTGTTTTAAGTATAAAAGAGAAACAGGCAGCTTAATTTTATCCAGATACAAAGAGTTATTCCAGTTTGCCAGTTTCAGTGGTTTTATATTGTTCAGCAGTTTTCAATTCCTCATTCACACAACAGTAAAATATATGTTGCACAAAATATGTCACAATGTTTGTCTAAAAATGGGTAAACTTTGGAGTGAGTAAGGTAGCCAGACTTCCTTGTGGTCATCAGCTGGTTGCAAAATGATTCTTGTCAAAACCACTTTTTAAATATTTTCGTGGATTGTGACCCAGATAGGGACCTTTTGGCTGTGAATTACTGCAAGAAAAAATAGAAGAAACACTTGTTCTTATCTGTTTAATAATGATTTTTAAAAAGTGATTTGGGGTAAACCCAAAGCATTTAATTTCTCCTAAAAGAACATCCTGAGAGGAAAATTTGAAATGTTTGATTTCAAAAGTATTAAACATTCCATTATTTTCAGGAAATATATTTAACATTAACAATTATTTTTTTCCTCCTTGGTAGTGCAAATTCTTTGTTTGTATTAGAAGATAATTTTGGTCCCAAAAAAGTTACAGTTTATTTTTAAATCTTTTATGTATCAGAAAATATCTCCCAATTATTATATGTCTGGATACAGTAAGCAAGCACATTAAATCCAGAAAAATCCACATTTGCTCAGCTGTCAAGAACATCCACTGAACGCAAGGAACAGATAATTTGAGGGAAAGACATCCTAGTTACTGTAAGTGGAGTTTTAGTGAGATTTTCTATTTGAAATTTTCCTTCTAAGCTTCTCTCTCTCACATCTGTGGTTTTTGTTTTAATTTTCCTTTTTACTGCAACCAAAAAAAAGTCATTATTTGAGTATTGTCAAGGTGAAAAACCAGCCCAAAATGCTTGCTTTCACAAAGGAGGGTTGTTTTTCTAAGTGTTTACTGTATTCTTTGTTCATAATGTATATTTAATTTTAAATATTTTATCTATTTCGGAGTAGCTGATTTGCTGACTACTTATCTTTGAATTTGGATCTTGTAATGAAATCTTTACCAAATCTGTTTTCTTGATGAGGTACAGAGATGCATCGGACTCAACTGACCCCAGAAGGTTCTTCACCTCTGACCTGAGGCTGCACAATGTAAGTATTGGACAAGAGCCTGGTATGGTAAAAATCTCCCCTTCTTTTGTCTTTCTTGGTCATGGCTACATTGAGTTTGGGATTGCAAAGGCCAAAAGAAGGACATGACTCGTCTTGGAAAAATGGAAATAGAGCTGGCAAGAGCAGCAGTGAAGTGGGAGTGTGAGGGGTTTTCTCAGGGAGTTTGTTAGGAAACTTCTGTCAGATGTTGCCCATGCCTTTAGCTAGAGTTTAGGAAGCCAAATTCATTAGATGCTAATGAATTACAGCAGAATTATTAACACAGAGATCTCATTGTTACGACAGACATGCAGGGCCATTGTCCCATCCATATAGCCCCACCTTAAAATATCTTTAAATTACTGGAGATATTTACCACTCCCCGTCATAGTTTTGTGGAAAATACACAATACCACAGAGAAATAATAAGTATACATTTAAATGCCTAAAATGTGGCTAAGTGCTCAGAAATATGATACAAACTACCCTGTGTGCTATCTCCAGTATTAAGTTATGCAGCACCTCAGTATTGCATAAAAGGATTTACAAGGGAAGCTGGAGCTCTGTTTTCATTTCCCCCCCCCATGGTATTTGCACCATCCTTGTCAAATGGAGTTCAAAAGCATCAACTCAGTGGGTTATTGCACCTTCCTTCTTCAAACAGCACCAGCCCACACACTCAGCACTCCATCAAGATGCAGCAGAACCTGCTGGTGAGTGTAGGCAATATTCCACAGGGAAGAGGAATTTTTTATGGCAAAATTAGTGGGATTGTTGCTATCATGTGCTTGTCATTCCAGAAGACCGGCAATAAAAACCAAAAAAGTTGATTGAACTCAATGGATGTTTCCTACACTCAGTCCGTGTTACAACTGGCAAATTAGCAATGCATTTCCCTAATAGAAAAGAAAAATCTGAATGAAAAAAGAAATTAAGACTTGGTGGAGTTGAAAAATCACAGAATACTTTGGGTTGCCCTGAGAAGCTGTGGCTGCCCCATGCTTGGAAGTGTCCAAGGCCGGGTTGCATGGGGCTCTGAGCAACCTGGGATAGTGGCAGGTGTCTCTGCCCATGGCAAGGGTTTGGAACAAGATATCTTTAAGATTCTTTCCAACCCATTCCACCTTTGTGGAGATGTGGAATGGCTTCCCAACTTTGTTGTGACACTAGTCCATCTTTTATACTTTTAAACAAAAAAAGCTGACATAATTTCTAGTTTCATTCTCCTGCTGGATTTCTTCCAAAGCCTTGCCAGGGCTCAAGGGGGAACCAAGGGAGTTGTTTTTGATTGTGTACCCCCCTAATTAGGCCAGATGTGGCCTTATCCAGTTTCTGGATATAGAAAGGTAAACACATGTTTTGCCAATAAACAAACACACACCAAACACACGCATATAACAATAGTTCATTAATGACTGAAAAACAAATAAATATACATACATATATATATATATATAACATTTGGTTGGAAGGTTCATCTAGAGGCAACTTTGGCTCAGGGTCTGTTGTTTAGGCCTCGGTACTTCAGCCTGCCACAGAATTTCTGGACATGTCTCCCTGTCAGGTCTGAGGGCCACTGCAAACCTTTATTTGACTGCAACACAAACTTCTGAGTCATGAACCACCACAGAAACTGCTTCACTTCCTCTTCTTTATCCCACACATTTGGTGTTTGCTTGGCTTCTCTGGGCCTCTGATTATGGGACATGAGGCAGAATACCAGAACACATCCCTGGCCCTTTGAAGAAGCCTCTGCCATGACCACTGGCACCAGAGGGTGTTCCAGATCTGATGGCCCTGAGAGAATATATCCATAATGGAAAATTGTCTTCCTGTGGAAGTAATAGGTTCAATCAGAATTGGTATTTAATTTATTAAAAACTACTCAACTTTTTCCTACAGTTTGTTCTAAATCAGAAAAGCAATGTACTATATTTCTATAAAGACAGGAATACAGTAATCATTGAATCATAGAATGGTTTGGGTTGGAAGACATCTTAAGATCATCTCACTTCACCTTTCCTGTCATGGGCAGGGACACCTTCCACTATCCCAAGTTGCTCAGAGCCCCGTCCAACCTGACCTTGGACAATTCTAGGCATGGGGCAGCCACAGTTCTTTGCGGATCTGTACCAGGGCCTCACCACTCTCACAGAGAAGAATTTATTCTTAATATCCAATTTAACCCACTCTCTGTAAGTGTTAATTTCCTCCTGTCAGACACTCCAGGCCCTTGTCAAGCTTCTCTCTCCATCTTTCTTGTGGCTCCCTTCAGGCACTGGAAGGTCACAGTTGGGTCACCCAGAGCTTTTGTTCTCCAGACCAAAAAATCTAATTCTCTCATGGCAGAGGTTCTGCAGCTTCTCAACACTTTGTTTGCCTCATCTGGACTCTCTCCAACAGTTCCATGTCCTTCTTGTGCTAGGACTCCAGAGAGAAAAGAGGTCACCCCTCAGCCTCCTTTTCTCCAAACTGGACGAACCATGGAGTCCTCAGCTGCTCCTCACAGGACATTCCTTCCAATATTTCCACCAGCTTTGTTCCCTTCCTCTGAGCCTCCATTCAAGGACCTTCACATACTGCTTAAATTCTAGGGCCCTGGGCTGGTTTTAGCTGGGATCGAGTTAATTTCCTTCATAGCAACTGGTATGGACTACATTTTGGATTTGTGCTTGAACAGTGTTGAGAACACAGGGATGTTTTAGTTTTTGCTGAGCAGAGATTAAAGAGAGTGAGAGTCCTCTGTTTGTCATCCCACCACACCACTGAGAGGGCTGAGGGTGCACAAGGAATTGAGAGGGGACACAGCTGACCCCAACTGCCCAGAAGGATCTTACAAACTTGGAAAGCCAAGGGATAGTTTTGTTTAGGCCACACTATTCCAGTTGCTGCCTTAAGCACCTTTTGTGCTTCCCAAGACAAGCTGGACCAATCCCATTTCTGGTCCCCATTTTGCCTCCAGAATTCCCTTGTAGAGAAGCAGAAAATGTCTGTGAGCTGCACAGAGGCCACAGTGCTCAGGACACAGCAGGGCAAAGTGTTTTATGTGTGGGTGGTGAAGCTTTGGGAACTCAAGACACTTCCAATCCAGAACCACTTCCCAACACAGGAGACCTCAGAGAGGCCGTGAACTTATATTTCCTCATGTTACTGACATAAAACTCTGTGCCATCAATAGATCAATAGATGTAGAAATAGACTTCTCTTTTCATTAGAGGTTGACGACCAGAAGAATCAAGAACTTCCTCCTGAAGGTTAGAGAGGGGAGGGAGCTCTAGGTCATACCCAGCCCAGAGTGTCACTGTCAGAACAGCCGAGGGAGGGAAAAAGGAGAAACAGCAACAGGTATGGCAGAAAATGTCATTTATGCTGACCTGAACTTGCCTGAACCAACTGGATCCAGAATCCTAACGCTCCCTGATGTCCAAGGTAGGTCCAGTGCTGAGCACTGAGCTTTCTTTGCATTCTCCAGTCTCTCTCCCACATATGTTGAGAGAGTTCCTTGGAGCACCCAAGTCCCAAAGAGCACAAGGGAAAGATGAGGGCCAGTGCTGAAAAACTGCAGGTGGAGTGTCTAGAGAGGGTTGTTTGTATTTACAAAGGCAAGTTGTTGGAAGACCTACTTTTCTCTTGCTAAGGTGCAAGTGTGAGGCAGTATCTCTGGTATGATATTAAGAGTAATTTTATCCATTTTTGAGACCATTCCAGAGCTGAACATCCATTGCTCCTGGCCCTGGTCTGTTGTCCCCCAGCAGACTGAGATTCCTGCAGCACACTGCTCAGGATGGAGTGGCTGCTGTTGCGGGTGTTCACAGCAGTCTTCTGCAGAGCTGATCCTGCTCCCTGAGCACAGCAGGCACTGCCTGGAGGCTTCTCCTCCTGCTCTGGCTGTACAAACTGCTTGTTGAATGCACAAGTCTGAAATGTTTCATGGACAGGTTTAGTCTGATTAAGGATCAAATACTTTGCAAATTTCTAACTGAGTATTTATCTTTCTTTAATGCACTAACAACTTTTACATAAATGTTTGCACTGGTTTTGCAATATCTGCCTCAAAATTCATCCTAACAGTTAACAGACTTCATAGAGTGTATTTAATTTTCATTTTTCTTTCCTTTCTTTCTAACCCTGCTTTCACTCTGGCAGAAATTTTATTGCCATCTAATTCTTGTTTTTGTACAAAGTGTGAACCCTCTGCATGTCTTTTCAGATGGATGGAGTTACTAACACCCAGGAAACAGGGTTTTACCCCCCCTTTCAACAGATGAATTCAGAGCTCATTTGACCACAATAGATGCCACCTGATTACAAGTTCCATTTTCCTTATAATGTAACCCATGTATTCTTATCCAAAATTTTCATAGATTTCTAGCAACATTTTGCTGTTTCTCTGCTTGTGCCTTTCAGGGAAACCCTTACCAAATCTTCTATGTGTTCTCTGAATTTATGCACAAGATTTCCCAGATACTGTATCCAGCTTCTGAAAAGAGCTCAAAACCCTGACCTCTGTCTTAGCTCTTTACAGTGATAGAACCCAGGGGGTCAGTGTTGAATATCATGATGACTTGGAGAGTTTTATAATGTTTCAATGTCCTATTTTTGATTTTCTACCCACTTTTTATCTCTCACTGACCTTTCTTTCCTCTCTAAAGGTTTTCTTCCTTGCTGCTTTGTATTTATTACCTGCAGATGATAAAACAGATTTCACTACTCTCCCTGTTGTCTTGTTCATTTAGATAAAATCTTGAACCTCTCCAATTTTAGCACAATCTGCAATTTTCAGGTTTAATGTTTTAGTCATTCTTACCATTCCTGTCGGGATGAACAACCTTAGGCCAACTTTGTCACTTTCCTTCCCTTTTGTAAAGACTGACAATGTGAGTGTGTCCCCTCTGGTATTGTCTGCATTGAAGAGAAACCAGATCTCTTCCTGCCTCTGTCAGGTGCTCCAAGGGTGAAAGTGTCATCATGGAACATGGAATCAGAATATCCTGTGCTGGAAGGGACACACAAGGATCCTCCAGTCCAACTCCTGGCCCTGCACAGATATCTCCTGTGGATCCCTGAGAGCATTGTCCAAATGCTGCTTGAGCTCTGGCATCCCTGAGGCTGTGACCATTCCCTGTGGAGCCTGTTCAGTGCCTCAGCACCCTCTGGGGGAAGAACCTTTCCCTGATACCCAATCTGACCCTGTCCTGACACAGCTCCAGCTGTTCCCTTGGGTCCTGTTCCTGGTCACCACAGAACAGAGATCAGTGCCTATAATCGAGAAAAGTATAATTTGTACATAGTTATCCACAGTCACATCAACCAGATGCTGTCCTGTGTTCAGCATTTCTCAGAATTTCAGTCATTTTTGTTTCATTTAAGTTGATTCTGAGCTCTCTCTGTGCTCTGTTCTTGTTCCCAGGCTCAGGCTGTACCTATGCAGATGTGAAAGTGAAAGCCCAAGACACAAATGCTACAGCAAACTGCAAATCAGCAGGTGAGTTTAGCTGTCTGACAGTGATGGGAATTTAAACAAGAAGGGCAGAGGGGCTGATCCTGATCCCCCAAACATACAGTGATACAAAACCACGAGGAGGCAGGAGGATACAATTGTCTGCTTTCCACACTCAGAGCAGGGGCAGCCGAGGTGTTGCATTCTGTGCCCCTAAACACTTGTTGGCTTTCCTGGCAGAGGGATAGAAGGATGTGATGGGCCACACCCAGACACCCTCCGAGCCCAGGCTCCTGTCCCCAGCAGCAGGGGAAAGTGAAAAAAGGAGATGAGTAAGCAGAGGGAGGGCATTGATTGCAAGGACTCTCCTCCTTTTCACCTCTCCTCAAACCCATGGCAGGTTGGGATCTGTTCAATTTCCTGAGCACAGGGGTCCAGAGCCAGTGGGGAAGCACTGTAACATTGAGCCTGGCTCCAGCCTGCAGATCTGGAAGGATCCAGAGTACCAGTGGGAGCCTAAAAAGTGCACCTTGGAATGCAGAGGAAAGAGGCTTCTGTCCAGCTGTTCCCCTAATGTTTATTTTTCTGTCCCTCTGTAGGTAAAAGCCGTTGTTCCAGAAAACATGTCACTATATTGGTGGTGATAATCCTCGTACTGGTCCTGGCAGTATATTTAGTAATCACATGTAAGTTATTTTGCTAGTGTCATAACAGCCATTTATTTGTGTCTCTCTCCAACTGTCTGATGTCCAGGCCATGACATCCAAAGCCAGTAGGAACAGAAGTTTGGTTTGAAGGCAAAGGACAGCAGTTTTTACCCAATCATAGCTGTAAGAGGGAAATCTGTAAGAGAGTTGAGTGGTTTGAAAGCTGAAAATTCCGATAGATTAAAAAGCCAAAATCCCAATGAAAAATGGACAACATTCAAGTAAAAAGAATTTATTATACAAATGTTTTGAAGAAACAAGTTAAGATTTGATAATGCCTACCAGTAATATAATTGCTAAGTGGGAGAATCCCACAGGCTGATGAGGATGTATCATGAGACCAAAATGTCCATAACACCAAAAATCTTAAAATAATTATGAATTAAAGTACATTTGAAGGAGGAACTAAATCACATCTCAAAGGAGTTTGCTTAGGATCATAGGATATTTTGAGCTACATAAAAAGATAAATTATATTTTGTAGAAAAAAATGTTACTTCCATCATGAAAAAAAGAGACCCAACTGGTACTTCCTTTAAAAGTTTTCAAGGTATCATTTTTAAATTTCAGATGGTTTTGCTTGTTTCTTTCCATCCTGTGATAGCTGAGAAAACTTGTGAAGCTTCCACAACCAATCACTCTCAAGTCCCAAAATTTGCCACCTGCTCAGAGATGCACATGGGGAAGACATGGCAAAGCCTTTGATCACTGGAACTTAAAAAACAAGGCTGGGGTAGGCAAGGCATTCTTTTTTAAGGCAAAGAGTTCAGGATTGATGCCTGACAATGCCCTGACATTATAAATGCCAAACAGCAAAGGGTGGTGCAAATTAAAAACAAATAATGAACCAACAGAAAATAAAAAGGTGTAATTTGCATTTAATATAGCCTTAAGTCCAATACTGAAAGAGGAGTTATTCAGACTTAGATCCAGGACTGGCTTTATTTATAGTTCTTTTGTGGGGCTCAGTACTGGCTTTGAACTGCTACCAACCTGAAAAAATACTCCTAAGTAAAGTGAGATCTAGATCAAATTGAAGAAATGAAATCAAGGTAGTTTTTAAGTTCAAGAGCACACAGGTTTCACTTGTGCTCCAAATAAAAACTGTTACATTTTGAGTTTATTCTAAGTTTTAGTTTTGTATGAATTTTCCATAGGGTCTTGTAAACAAAGACATTGTTATTAAGATACAATTTGTTTAAATGAACTCAAGTGTTGCCTTTTACTCAGTGGAACTTGACTGACCATTTTATGATTTCTATAGTAGACCCATGAGGAAGGAGGCAGAGTTTGCATTCTGTGTTGGGTGGTGGGGAGGTCAGAGAGGTCCAGCAGAATTCTGACAGTGCATGGCACTGTGGCCACTCCTTGCAAGCAGAAATTGTTTTCTTATTTCCAGATGGTCTGACTGCAAACAGCCAACAGGACTCAACAACCATCCCTGAAGAGGCACTAGGTAGGTAATCCTCTGTCATTCCAGAGGGAGTTTCCAGAAACCTGTGGGATTGACTGTGAAGAGGGCAGCTGAGGGTGTGTGACTGGATTTTGTTGAGAAGGCAAATGTTGAGAGCTTTGTAACAAGCTGGCTCCGAGCTAAAGGTCACAGTGAGATTAATTTGACCGAGATAGAGAATGAGGGGAGTTACCATTCCAATTAAACTGTGTGTCCTTGTCCCATGGGATGAAGTAATGCACAAAAACAGGTGGTAAAGCGAAACAGCTTGGGAAAATAGTAGAAGTTGCACCAAAACAGCACGTAGATAGCTGATAACTAGTTAGCCAATGGTAAGCTGGGATTTTGCACTATACATGAGCTAATTAAAAGGTGTATAATAATTGGCGATTCGGGAATAAAGAGGAGACTTGTAGATCATCATCTGGTGAACGAGTCTTCCTTCTCCGTCAGGCAAACAAAGAAAGAAAACCTCTCCCATGTCAGGAACAGAAACCTGGTCATGGACACTCTCAGAATGAGCTCTGGAAGGCACAGGAAGAACATCCCTCTGGAAGCCCAGCAATGCAGGGAACAAGATGGATAATGTGCCTCCACTGCTTTTCCAAGGCCCTCCATTAGCAGCCTTTGAACTCAGTGCAATTCCCTGAGGCTGTTTAGAAGCTGCTAAGCAAAGACGGGAAAGGCTGGATCATGTTTGCTGTGCTGCTCATTTTCTTGCTCCTGCCTGGTGATTCTGGGGTGGTATCAGCTCCAGAGGCTGTAGGGGAATCCCTGGTGCTCTGGTGACAATTCTCAGCACGAACACACAGGCATTTCTGTGGCTGGAATTGCCTCTCTGTCCTGTCTTTTGGTCAGCGTGAACATGGATTTTACACACCTCTTCTTCCCTTCTGCAGGCTGCCCCCCACCATGGAAAAAACATGGGAGAAAATGCTACTTCTTTTCTCCAGAGGCGAAGTCAAAGGACTGGAATGCCTCCCGTGCAGAATGCACTGCCATGGGCTCAGACCTGGTGGTCATTGACAGCAGGGAAGAGTTGGTGAGATCCAGCTCTTGGGGCAGCTGCTTGGGGGGGCTGGAGCTGCCTGGCCAAGGGCTGAGCAGTGACACTTCTGCCAGCTCCTGTCACATGTCCTTGGGCTCTGGGACCTGCTGCCACCCACGGACACCCCAGCCCTGGCAGTGGGAGCAAAGCCCTGCACAGGGAGAGGCCTCCTGGGGCTTGGAGTCCTGTCCCTGGAAGCTTCTCTGCCCAGGCCTGATCCCATGGCAAGGAGCAAACTCCCTGCCCAGCTGGCTGGGCTTTTACAGGCATTTAGCACACAGGCCATGGAGGTTGGACAGACGCTTCTTTGTCAGAGCCATGGCTGTGACAAAACCTGAAAAGGCTTTGCCACCCCCATCAGAAGGGAAAAGTGACCTCAGCCATCAAATCACACCTGTCTGACTGCAAAGTACAGCTGTAATGGCACCACAGGTGTATTTTTACCTTTATTATCTTCATAAGAGGCCTGCAAAAGGGGGATTATCTCAATAGAAATGGAAAAATGCAATCTATGGAGCTGTGGGAAGAGGTGCTGTGGCTTGGGTGCACACTGCACTCTCTGTGCTGGCTGTTCAGCACTGAGCCTTCTGTGCCTCTGGTGAAGAAAACGTCATTTTTATGTGTTCCCATTGTTGGCTTCCTTTCCAGACATACCTGCACTCACTATCAAGATATAACTACTACTTACTTGGTCTTACATACTCTCAAGAGGAGCAGAAGTGGAAGTGGATCAACAGCCTGGAGCATGACCCAGACATGTGAGCTCCTTCCAGCAAGTTCCTGCCATGCAATGTCTGGGAAGAGGAAAATCCCAAAGCCAGAGCAGAGTGCCCAAGGGAGATCAGGGACTGTGGTTTGGAGGAACCTGATTCCTGGAGATGCAGGGGCTTCAGCACATGCCTGTGCCAAGGAAAGGGAGCCTTTCAGGGCCAGGGAACACAGGGCTGTCCTGTAAGAATGGCAGGAGAGGACACAGCTGGAGTTCTGCTGGGGAAGGAAGGATCTGTCTGGATGCAGCTCCCTGGGGAAAGGAAGGAGACAGGAGGCAGGGACAAGAGAGAGGGTGATGTCAGCACCATTGGCTGGCAGGGATCAAAGCAGGGGAATGTTTCTGGATGGGAAAGCATTGCCCAGAAACTTTTGTGGAGCTGTGGGGAACAACAGTAAGGAATGGGAGGGAGACTCCAGCAAGGCTGTTCCTGGTCCCAGTGGCAGTAACACAGCTTAGCAGGTGCCACTCTGCCTTTCACTGAATGTCAGGAATGTGATCACATTGGACTTTTTCCCCCTGTTTAGGTTCCATCTAAACAGAAATTATAGTGACTATGACTGCACGGTCATTGGATATGGTGAAGTACATACTCAAAATTGTGGTGGATCCTCAACAACACAAAATATGTGTGAAAAAGCTGCAACAATAACAAAAAGGCATCAGAAGGAGAGCTAAAAACAAGAGGTCCTGGCTGGTAGGTTATGCCCAGCTTCATGTAGGAATTGTGGATGGGATGTGTCTCATTTCTCTATAGCTGCCCAGTTTCTGCTCCCAGGCTCTCCTGCAGCCTCTCTCCAGATTCAGAGCTGAGCTCAGCCCAGCTGACCCTTTCCCTGATGGTGTCTGAGCTTGGGTGGATCCTCTCTGGAAGAGCTGGCACTGGCACACAGGAGGAGTCTGGGACTGTCTCATGCCAGAGGTGGCACTTCCAGGCAGGCTCTGCCAGGGGAGAGGAGTCCAGCCTGGGGACAGGGGTGATTCCAAACAGATCCTGACTCTGAAAGTCACATCCATCCACAGCCCCATGTTCCCAGCCCTGCCTGGGCACAAGGAGACCCTTTCCCCACTCGCCACAGCCTAAACATGCCTGCAGCCTCAAGGGAAGGGCAGCACAGATTTCTGGCTGGGATCCTGTAAGGAAGGGCAACCCCAGAGCCTGTGAGGGGATTGGGAATTAGCCCAAGGGAAAGGATCCTACAGCAGCACAGCTCTGGGCATAAAATCAGCCCCAGTCCTGTGTGGGGAAGGGAAGGAATGTCAGATCTTGGATCTGCTGGGGAGGGCCAGAGGCTGGAGACTAGCAGAAACCAGCAAGGCCTGGAGAACAGAGTCCCAAAAGAAGCTGATGTGGACAGAAAACAGGACAATGAAACCCACAGTGACCTGTGAAGGAGCTGGTGAGAAGCATGAGAGTGACCCACGGGGAATGGCAACATGGTGCTCTGACCTCTTTTCCTTGGAGACTGATCACAGGAGGAAATGATGCCTGAAGGCTTTTCCTGCTCAAAATTGTTCAAGCCAACAGCAGAAACAGCTGGCATCAGGAAAACAGAGTTGTGTTAAGAAACAGGGAATGTCACCAAAGTTCTGCCCATGTTCTTTAGGGGCTCTTGGGATCCTGGGTCTTGTGTGACACCAAGAATATTTCTTCTTTCTGTGTCCTTTAAGCAGAATCATTCCTCCTTTACTGGTGCTGTTCATGGGTCTCTCCTTCAGCTGCAGGGTGGAGAAAGCTTTGTGAAGTCCTTGAAGAAGTGACACTGATACCATGGGAAAAAATTGCTTAATCAAAAAATCCATACACAGCATGTTATGGCCATTGGAAGGGAAAATGGAATCCTACAGGAGAAACTGTCTCTTTCTAAATTGAAAGCACATTTTGACATCCCTCACACCAGCCATCCTCCTCACTGACTGGTTGCATCAAGATGCTTTGTGTTACAGGTAAAAATGAAATATGCCCAATTCTAATAAAATAAAAATTAATTTATTTGTGACCATATTACAGTCCCGACAGCCGACAATCAAACGGACAGCGCAACACCCCCGGGAGATAGGCTGGGTGGGCATAGATCTGGCCTCTAGAGCACCAAATCCCCCTTGTCCACACTGGCTATTCCGAAGTAGCAGTTCTTATAGTCTTTATTTTGCCTGCGGCAGAGTCCCTTTGTCTCTTTTTAGAGTTCTTCATATTCAAGTTGGGTCTTTTCTTCAGTCCGGGCTGCACAAAGCCTTTTTCCGGGAATTGATCAATGCGTTTCCCCGATTCCCGGAATCTGGTATTCCAACGGCAGATGTTGATGGCTCCAATTATCTCAGATGGGTATCTCATCCTGGCCATCATCTCTTGGGTGTCACTGGACACATGCCTTCATGAACGCCCATTTTCTACTGTGCAGCTGAAGTTTCCTTCGTATGTAAATGTCATGGTGCCTCCTTGCCAGTCTGCTGCGGTTTCGTCATCCTGAGAATGAAATTTTTCCCCCCGCCTTTCCCTATGTACAGTCGGTTTGGTTCATATATTCTATATTTTATCTGCACTAATTACTAACTATATCCTTAACACTTTGGAAACGTATTTACGGTTCTTTCCCTGACTTTCCATCCCTGTTGCAGTGTGTTGTCATGGTGTGCTTCAGTTCCCCTGGTTTCTCCCTGAAGTTTCCTTCTCCAGGTGGGCTGTCAATCACCTCTCCTTTCCCCTCCCTTGACCCCTGCTGGGCACTGTCTATCAACCCAGAAATCCCGAGGAGAACGTCAAGCAATTGGCAGGTTCAAAGGATGCTCTCCACCCCCTGGGGGGCCATTGGCCCACCCAGGTGTCCCTCTCACCTGAGACCCCCTCCCCCTGTGCCTGGTTGGTGCTCCCTGTGTTCCCTCCCCTACCCCTCTCCCCAGGTAAAAGGGCAAGCAGACCATACAGTTGGAGGGTTGTTGGAGTTGTTGCAATATTCAGAGGCCATGCAGCCTGAAATAAAAACTCTGGATTAAAAACTCTCCATCAGGACCCGCTCCTTCCTTCACCTCGCCTTAAGGGTTTCTCCAGCTCAGGAAGGCCTGAGGAGTGACCCCCTCAACAGCAAGCTCCAGCCTGCAAGCTCTGGAGCTCAGAGCATGCCGAGACTTGTCCCCACGTGCCTCAGCTGCGACCACAGGTACTGAACAGCGTCTCTGGGGAGAAAACTCCACAGGTGCTACTATTTGGTCAGCAGCTGGGACCAGGTAGACCAAGGCAATCCCGTTTGGTAATATTGGTAAAATCCAGTACATGCCTAAAAAACAGAGTAAGAACATGGAGCTGTAGCAGAACAATCCCAGTGTCAGACCCCAGGATCTGTACTGTTATTTCAGAAGGAGGCTGAGCTGGAGGGGTTTTTTGCTTGCACTCATTTCACTGGAGAGGGTGGGAGAGCATTCTGTGTTGCATCATAGATTTCTGCCTTCTATTTTCATATTCCAGCTGCTGTGATCCCTTGGACCAGGTGGGCTCTTCTGAAGGTAGGGCCAGGGAAAAGCCTCTTCCCTAGGAGCCACTGGCCCTCAGTTGGAGCCTTCAGCAGGCGGCAGAGGCAGCAGCTGTGCATCAGAAGGGTGGGAAGGGGAAGCCACCCTGGGGCGACTGTGGAACTGCACAAACTCCATCAGACCCAGAAAGCCACAGGAAGTTTGACTGAAAGTGCTTTTTTTCCTCTGTCTCTGTGTTGTTCTTGTTCACAGTTCTCTGATCTTGTGACCTAAGTTTTACAATGAACTTCCGTTTTACAGTTTGTGAATCTTGGATTACCCCTGGCATCCCTACTGCAAGGGAGGGATGAAACATTTCTTTCTCCTTCTGTGCTCAGTGCCTCAGAGAATGCCAGGCTGGTTTAATTCTCGCTGCAGCTGGGCAATGGGTGACACTCCCTGGGACAGGCCAGGCTGGCAGCACCAGCCCCGGAGGAGCACATCCTGGACACAGGACTGGCTGCATTAGTGATCTTTATGAAGGAGAACCTATGACAGGGACATCTCCAAGAGCTGATCCTCGGGGCTTGTCCTATTTATGTGGACCTGTATCCCAACAGTGTCTCAAGCCAGCTGTTGTATTTAGGATACACTTAGTGGAAAAAATGCTCTGAGTATCTTGGCAAAAATCACAACCAAAGGATTTTAGTTTTATTGCAGGAGAAAACAGTGAATGAAGGCAAGGTTCTCAAAAGAAACGACCCCAAACCATTAAAAAGCCCAGAATCTGTTGCACAGAAGTAACTAAGCAGAGACCAACATGAACAGACATCTCAGAGAGGAGTGATACTTTATGTAAACAGAAGAAGTTCATGCAGTATTGCACATACAAACAATTTATCTGGTTCTAAATGACAAATGCACCAATGGAAGAAATGGACCTCACTATCAAATGGGCAATTCAGGGAGGATGCACTGCCAATGCAGATTTGCTGTCAGAACAGCAAGCAGGGTTCAGAACACACAAAGAACACCTTAAAGGCAGCACTGACAGTGTCACAGAGCTTGCAGCAATCACTGGCAGACTGGGTTCCTTTTTAGCACACACTGGAGTTTCTGGAACCATTTTTGGTTTGTGGCTGCAAAGGCTTCAAATGATGAGTGACTTTTCAAGGTGCTAAGTGTGATGTTTGCTCTGTGGTGAGTCACAAATTATCTATAAAGGAATTCTGTTCTTTCTTGGGAAGTGGTCCATGGGAATCTCATGGGGTTTAACAGGACCAAGTGCTGGTGCTGTACCTGGGATCAATCCAGGCTGGAGATGAACAGATCCAGAGCAGCCCTGGCAGAAGGACTTGGGGGTGCTGTGGGTGAGAGCTGGCCCTGCCCCAACCCAGAACCCCCCTGTGCTGGGCTGTACCCAGAGCCTCAGGGCAGCAGGGCAGAGGGGATTCTGCCCCTCTGCCCCACTCTGCTGAGTGCCCCCTGCAGGGCTGCATCCAGCCCTGGGGCCAGCACAGGAAGGACAGGGAGCTGCTGGAGCCAGGCCAGAGCAGGGACACCAAGGGGATCAGAGGGATGGAGCAGCTCTGCTGAGAGCAAAGACTGAGGGAATTGGGAGTGTTCAACCTAGAGAAGAGAAGACTTTGGGGTGGCCTCGTTGTGGCCTTGCAGCATCTGAAGGGAGCTTGTAAAAAAAGAGGGAGAGTGACTTTTTACCTGAGCAGATAGTGACAGGACAAGAGTGAACAGGTTTGAACTAAAATAGAAATGATTTAAAGCCAATATTAGGAAAAATACTCGGGGGTTGCTGAGGCCCTTGGCACAGGTTGCTTAGAGAAGCTGTGGCTGCCACATCCCTGGCAGTGTCCAAGGCCAGGCTGGATGGGGCTCTGAGCAACCTGGGTTAGTGGAAGGTGTCCCTGCCCATGGCAGAGGGGTTGGAATTAGATAAAGTCTATTCCAATCCAAACTATTCCATGATTCTATGAGTCACAAAAGATACTCAAGGATTATTTGGGGTAGCAGCAGGCAGGAGGCAGCACCACAGGATCCAACTCTGAGTTTTTAAGTCAGTCCCATGAAAGCCCTCTTGTACAATGCCTTCCTTTTTCTTTAGAATGTGTGCATTTTTCTCCTTACATCATGGCAATATTTTAAAGTAACTTTCCAGTGATTCACCTTGGAGGGTACTTCTGCCTTTAGCCTTCAAGAAATTCCTATCTTGTTTATCAACTTTTGTTTTAGGAATTGTCTGGAGGCTTCTTAGCCAAAGTGATCAGGGAAAGTGAAGGTGAGTGTCTCAGTTACAAGCATCTGGGATTAATAACAGTAGTTTTGAGGATCAGATGATTCACAGCTATGTTGACAGCATTTCTCAGAGTTTTTTTTTTTTGCCAGCCTGGAGAATCTCCTGCAGCTGTGAGAACTACCTTCTGTACTTGTGGGTGAACAAAAAGAGAGCGCTCACTTCTGAATGCTCTGTGGTTAAAAGCCACAATGACCTCAGTGACAGGCAGGACTGAATGGCAGGAGCCCAAGCCACTCCTTCAGAGCAAATAAATGCTGAATAAGCTGTTCTTAGAATGCCAGCTATGGACACACCAATGTTCCACTGACTTCTTGTATGTGAAACATGCTCTACATCAAGCAGGTACTGCACCTCCCTGCTGCCCTAATTCCACACCCCCCTCTCATCCTCTGCCCCTATGGATTCATGTCTTGAAAAACCTCTGGAAAAGTCTCCAGCTTGTGCTCTCTGGACCCATCACCTCTTCTCTCTCCTGGGGATCCTCAGTTCCCTAGCCTCCCTGAAGCCACTATACCTTAAGCCTTGTCACACATACCTTTTGGATTCCTCTTCATCCTTTTATCTTTCCTGTTCTTCCCAGTGCCTTCCTGGGAATCCCAGTTCAGTGCTTAATGAACTCCTGCTGCAGGCAAATGCTAAAAATCAAGCGCAGTTCAAATTATACTTATGGAAGCATAAAGTTTATATGGTTCTTTGTAAGCTGTAAACACAAACACCTGGAGACTATTTTCAGCAACTACGCCACTGCTCAGAATCCTTGGCAATCAAAGTAATTGAAAACTGCAGTGAAAGCTTAAAGTGTAACCCCCCCATTCCTATAGTTTTCTGTTTGAAGTTTCCTGCCCAGGTACAGAAGGATGCTTATTTTGGATAAACTACTGCTGAATTCCTCACCAGCCTCACACAGAGCCCACATGATGACTTGGAGAGAGCTGTGTGGAGAGCTGTGGAGAGAGTTTGAACACACAGCACAGCCCGGATGTGTTGTAAGTACAGCAGTTATTGTGCAAAACCACCACATGAAATGGATGATATGTGTGGCCCTGTCTTCCAAGCAATGCTGAAATTTCTATTGCACCTTCATCCCCAAGAGCAAGCCAGCATCATCAGGCTTTATCTTCTTTATGTTCTTCTAGGTAAAGCAAATCACTGGCCAGGTTTTCTAAAGAGGTTTAAGTAATCAACATTTAAATACTTGATTTTACTCTCCTTCTCCATACAAAAGAAGATAAATAACAAATATGAAATAAATAAAATGGGGGGGGGGGGGGGAAAAAACCCCACCAGACAAAACCAAACCAGAGCCTTCTCTCCTCGTGTTAGTTCCTGGAATTTGCTGATGTCACAGGATCCCAGTGAGATTTTTGTAGGAGCCGACTTCTCCTTGAAAGCGTCCCCATTTCCTATTTCTCCGGAGTTGCGCAGCGGCTGCTCCCGGCCCGAAGCCCCGCTGGGCACCGAGCCCGCGCTCCGTGGCCATGCCCCTGGGGGCCGGCGCGTCCCGGGCGGGCAGCGAGGGGAGCGGCCGGGCGGCTCCGGCGCCGCCAGCCCCGCGCCCATGGCCGGCGGCACCGAGCGCGGCGGCCCCAGAGGTGACGGGCGGGGACACCGAGGGGCCGCGCTGGGATGCGGGGGGGAGCCGGGACATCCCCCCGGAGCGCGGGGCCGGGCCGCGGGCATGGGGAGCCGGGGATGCCCCCCGGGAGCCGCCGCAGCGCTGGAAACGCCCCGTGCTGGCAGCGGAGCGACTGCCAGGAGAGGGGACCCTCCTCTGGGGCCCTGGGGACACCTCGTCCCCGCCACTGCCCGAACAGCCGGATACAGGGCAGCGGCAGGGCGGTGTGTGCTTCCAGAGCCCTGGAGGGGACAGGGGAGCAAAAGGAGACTAAACAGCTGTGGCTGTGGGATAAGGCTGGATATTTCTCAGGAAAAGTTTTGGGCTCCAGAACCGATGGCTTTTCTTAGTTCACTTATCCATGTCTTGTTTAGGCACTTAGTGTCCACCGTCAATTTCCCCATGCTCCTTTCTTTCTCTTTGGATCACTTTAAGTTCTGGATGATGTAACTAAAATTTACAGTAACTCAGAGTTCTTGTTAGCTGATAAGACTTGTGAAAATAAGCTAAATGTTTCTGCGCCCAGCCTGCTCCCTACAGAGAGCTGTTTTTTTGTTTTTTTTTTTTTAACAGCTTTGTGTGTCCTGGGCTCTACTCCCCTGTCAGCTGGTTCTTATTTGTTAGTTTGGGTTTGTTTTGTTTTGTTTTTTTAATTCCTTGCATTTATTTTTTCAGGTCTGTTCTCAAACATCTGGCTGTGGCGAGCTGTCGCTGGAGTCCTTACTGCTGCTGTCATTTTGATTTCATGTATTCAGTTTGGTAAGCAAGAAATATTAAAAGAAAATATCATTAGCAATAGAAATTAGTAGAGTTTGGGGTTCCATACTCAGAGGGTGCTGAGGCCCTGGCACAGGCTGCCTAGAGAAGCTGTGGATGACCAATACCTGAAGTGCCCAAGGCCAGACTGGATGGGGCTTGGAACAACCTGGGATGGTGGAATCTGTCCCTGCCCATGGCAGGGGATGGAACAAAATTATCTTTGAGGACACTCTCAGCCCAAAGCACTCTGTGATCCTGTGTGAATCTGTGATTTCTGTTTGAAATTGCAGGCCAGTGCAGGAACAACTCCACATGCTTCAGTGGGGCTAGGGAGGGCTCAGTTTAATCTTAGTGTACTTTTGGTATCAAGTTTGTCACATCACTGTTGGTCTTAATCCAAGTCCAAGAAAACAAATAACAACAGGAAGATTGTCCTACCAATATGCAGTCCTTCAAAAATGACAGTATAATAAACAAAATTATTAATTCAACTCTGAGGAAGCAACACATGCAAAAACTGGAGTTGTTGGAATTTTTAAGCTGTAGGAGAGTCCTTGGGTGACACTTTATGATCATCTTCTCAGCTACTTCTACCAACGTGTCCCTGACCATCCTCCTAAGGATTTGTCAAGAAGGGTACAGGATCCAGAATATATCATTAGTTTACAATAATTATTTCAGCTGGGCAGAAGTCACAATGCTGTGGCTAGACTGGGATTATTTTAGATGATGCAGTCAGAAAGTAAAACCTTTCCCAGCTGGAAAAAATGGGTAGATTGTTTTTTGTCTTTTCCCAGTAAAGCCTTCTCTGGCCAAAGAGTTTCCCGTGTGTCCTCCCCTGGACCTGTGTCCATCAGGCTGGCTGTACTTCCAGAGAAAGTGTTACTTCCTCTCAGAGAGTGAAGCTGCCTGGAACTCCAGCCAGAGCCAGTGCTCTTCCCACAACGCGTCCCTGCTGGTCATCGAGAATCATCAGGAGCTGGTAAGGGAACCAAAGGGGGATCCTATTTTCCCCCCAGTTCTCTTCCAGGGAACTCCTCCAGCCTCCTCAGCTGAACTGTTAGGAAGCTGATGTAAGACCACAATGAGTCACAGCCTACAGAATACTTCGTGCCTGTTCTCCCTGAAAACAGGAGACATCAGTTTAAGCAGTTGATGGTTTAGAAAATGTCTGAGTACTTGCCTGAATTAAATTTGGTGGTGCTCACAGCTATAAATTGTCATATTGAGGGCATCTATCAGGGTAAACACTGTTGCGTCTCATTTATCTTTAATTAAACAATTGTTTTCTCATATTGAGATAAGTTAATGACACATAAGTTGGTAAATATGTTAATTTTAACCTTTGGAGTTAGGAGATAGTTACCCAAAGTGCAGATTGGAGCATTTTTTCTATATTATACCACAGTATTAGGAAAGATTCCACCCTGAACAGAGGCCTAGAAGAATATATTCTTCTGTGTCTGTTCCAGACCTTGATAGCAGACATCTATCTAAAAGATATCTAAATCTAAATATCTAAAATGTCTAAAATATTATAAAATATATATCTAAAAGAACATATTCTTTTAGAATAGCCTCTCTCTAGGTCAGTCAACCCTATCCCAGTCACCAGTCTCTGTATATTTAGGTTTTAATATGATTTCTTCAGCAGGAAACGTTAGATTGTTGTTTTGCTTTTGCCCTGGATCAATGACTTCATATTTTGATAGCTGGACTGAGCATGCAGAACTTCTTTTCTCATGTGGGTTTATTCCTACAGAGGTTTATGATGAAGATAACAAAGCAAGATCCATGGATTGGACTCTATAAAAGAAATGAAGAGTTCTTTTGGGTAAATGGAAAAGCCTTAGACAATGAACTGTAAGTTGATGTGGAGGGGTTTTGCTGGTGATATTTGATTATAGGGGAGTAAGAAAAATAATACAGATCTAGTGACTTGTAGGAAATCTCTGTTATTATGTTAAAGGGATGGAGAGTGTGTGAATGCAATGAAGATTTCACATGGCATTGTTAAAACTGTGGCAGATGAAAACTAGGGGATAAGTTTGTAATGCTGAGAAGCAACATGAGGCAGGCTCATGGTAACAGATATCAGAGAAAGTGAAACCAAGAGACACAAAAGCAGTGGGAGGAAGGGAATTGGGGGAGAAAGGGAAGATTAATAGTAACACGAATTCCTCATTTTAGAATATATTTTGCAACAATACAAACCTGCACGTAAGCTGTGTGAAGTTAATAGCAAAGAGATTTGGGAGACTGCTAAGACATGTTTCCATTTTTATAGAATGTTCCTCAGAAAGAGGCTTCTGGAGGGAAAGGTAGATGTGAATTTATGTTGCAAGAGCTGCTCTGTGGCCAGGGCCCTGTGTTCTGTGCCACCAGTGCCAGCTGTGGGGTACTTAGTTCCTCTCCCTGGCAGCTGTCCCATCTCCTCAGAGGCTGCTGCAGCTCACCCTGGAGCAGCTGCTGGCAGGAGTTGGCAGAATTACCATTGATAGGCATAAGCAATAAGATTTCACAAGTCTGAAATTACCTTAAAAAGTGGAAAATTTCAATACTTTTAAATCTGTGACATTACTGGTGATCTGTGACTATATTTGCTTCATCCCCAAGCCCTGAAGGCTTGATCTGACAAAGGCATTTAATGTGAGATGTGAGGAACACGTGGACACCTCAAATTGAAAACTGCAGTCCTTCCCACTCTTTTATCCCCTGTCTGCAGTACAAACATCCACTGATGCTTTCATTTTCAGTGAGGTTCTTCCCATTCTTAGACTTCTGCCTCACACCCCTTGCCCCTCCTGAAGGGGAGGGCAAACACCTTGATATCTAAGCTCAGGTGTTACTGCACACTGGTGGGGATTTGTCCCTCAGTTTTTCCAGAGACCATTCCAGTTTGCTTGGCCTATCCTTAGAACGTTATAGCACTTTGTGCTGAAGGAGTCTCTTACCTCTTACATAGGGACCTATGGTGTAGAAACTTAGGTTTGCTTCTTGTTTCCCCTGACCCCCTTAACCATAGTGCCTGTTGGGTTCTGAGGAAGGGAGAAATTAGAGATGCATTTCCTTCACAGCTTCTGCTGGAACCTTTTAGCTGGATAGGAAGATGTGGAGGTACAAGGTGGTGGTGCCCATCTTGATGGCACAGCATCCCTCAGAAAGGCAGAAAGGGTGTATTTCACATTAAGTGACCACTAAACAAGATGCAGGAGTACTACAAGTATTGGATTTTGTATTCTGGCCACAAGATACCATTAAGAAAGGACAATCTCCATGGTATTCTTTTTAAGGCACAAAACATCATCCTGCTGTGGTGCCTTGCCTGAGATAAATCAGGCTTTATTCAAAGAGAATTCAAAGAGAACCTGAGATGCCCATAGCTGCTTTTGCTCTATTGCAATATTTGATTGTTGGTGTCCAAGTAATCCTGTCTTCTCTTCTCCCTGACAGGTTTGAAGTAAAAGGCTCTGGCAGCTGTGCCTATCTGGAGTCCAAAGGAGTCTCAGCCTCAGGATGTTATTTAACCAGGAAATGGGTCTGCAGCTTGAATATCAAGTCAGCACAATAAAGGTGGACAAAGCCCCCACCCCTGACACTTAGAGCTCTGATATGATGATGCCTACTACACAGGCTGTGTCTACACTTTGGGACCTGGGAATGTGTCCCAGCTCTTACCCCGAGGTGAATGACTTTTCTGGTAGCCAGAATTCTCCACCCATGGAGGAAGGCTTTAAAGATACCATATTAAAGGCTTTCTTCAGCATCTTCATAAGTAATTTCCTTGCCCCATTTTTCCAGCTACTGCTCAGCTGTAGTTTCTTTTTGCTGTGCCATCAGTATTTCCTCCATTTACTCTTCTCTTGTAGGAGCAGCTGCTCTTTCTTTTCCTTTTGGGTGTGCAGTTGGAGGTTTTTGTTCTGCTTTTCCTTTTGCCAGAGTCTGTGTGCATGGGTGGTGAAGTGGGTCTGTCTGGAGGGCTGCGAGTGCCTCGTGGATACAGAGCAATGCAGAAGTGAACACTGCTGTTTTGGACATGATCACAGCAAATTCCTCTCTTTCCATTTGATGGGATGTACCTTGAATTGTATTCCACGTTTTGTTAATGTTATATTACATTAATTTTGTTAAATCCTGGTGATGACGTTATCAAGCTGATTTATGTAGCTGCACTGCACCTGAAGTTATCCTCACAACACTCTGTAGCCAAAAAAGGTCACAATAGAAAAGAATATTTATTTACCTGAGCATCTGCACTGGTGGAAGGGAGAAGAGTTGGAACTGGAACAGTGATAGCAAAGCTGCAGTCATTAATGTGTAAATGTAGAAATAATCCTCAGTGCAAGGAGATAAAATCAGGAGAAGGGAAAGAGAGAATTAACAGGGATATTTCTCTGTGTTTCCCTTATGCCCTGTGCCTGTCATGGTGTGAGCCTTCCGAGCAAGGGGACATTTCCAGATGGAGAGTGTTTCCTTGTGTAAGTGACATTTTCAGCAGCGGCCTCCAGTGCTCTTGGATTGCTGGGAGCCTGAACAGACTTAGGGCACAATCCCTTTGATTGACTGAGTCCCATACATGTCTAGCAGGTTGTCCAAAAATTAAAAGTGTCATTTGACCCAGAGGAAGCAAATTTGCATGTAAGGAATGTAACTATGAAGTTTCTAGAGAATGAAGAATGGGAAGTTCACCTTCATTATTTTCTGTGACAGAAGGATTTGACTGTAGCAGGACCATACACATGGATAGTGTCAGTGACTTGTGCCTTTCAGATGTTTATTTAAAGATAATCACTCATTTTGCTGGATTACACTTTTCTTAATTGCTTGTATTCTTTATACATACAGTAACAGGACTCTACAGTATAAAAAGCTTAATTATCTATTTATTTATGTTGGGGGGAAGGTGTTATTCTGCAATGTTTTTACATTAACCTGATTCTGAAGGATATGGTATGTGCAATAGTCCTGAAAAGATACTAAATAAATATCTTTACAGAGCCCCTGAATTATAGTGCTTTGTGTCTTAATATTGGGGTATTGAAACTCAGGCACCATTTTTGGCGAAAAAAAATCTGAAGCAAAGTAAAATGTTTTTAACATGAAAAAATCTTTAATAATAATGTTGGGGCTGACATGAAACCAGATATTTGATCAAAAAAATAATGCTTTCCCCTTTTTAACACATCATAATGAGTCAGACTTTTAACAAAAAGGTTAAAAAGTGAAAGCTCTTCTGACTCCTCAGGGATGCTATGAACTTCTTTGGTGATGTTAAGAAAAGAAGAGTGAAGATGCAAACTTTGCCAACTTGCTTTACTCAGAGCGGAGTTTGATGAACTACTTCAGTGGTAATTTCTTTTTCTTTTTTTCTGTTAAATAAGCGACTGCATAAATTGTAGGTAAGAACTTCAGTAAGGCCCTGGAAAGACTTGTTTCGTTACATGAATAGTAGCAAGAAGGCCCAAATAGTAAATGTTTCATGAATATTGTGAAAACCTAAACACCACAACTAATTTGAGAGAAGCCAGCATGCAGGAGTTTGGTTTTCTTGTTAAATTCAGCATGAATCAAAAAAAATTGCCAGAAAACCAGCAGTTGTCAACTCCACTGCATGGAGAAGGGTGTGCTGCAAGTACCCTGAAGTGAAAATTTCTCAGCAGTCAGAAATTCTCTCTCTCTAAAGCATGTATTGTATAGCTATAGATGATTATCTTACTCATTTCAGACTCTTTCCTTTTCTTTGCTTCGCTGTCTAGAATGAGCAAACCAATCTTCTTCCCCCCACGTGCTGTGCTGAGTTTGGGGGATTTTTGTAATTTCCTCTTACATAATAGCAGTTTCTCATGGGTCTTGAGCTGCTGATGCTGCATTCTGCGTGGTAAATCTGTGCTGGGATTTTTTTTGTTGTTGTTTGAAGGGAAGTCCCTGAGGGTACAGTTTACTTTTTAATCTGCAGCCCTAAAGTGCTGGACAATAACCATCCCCAGGCATGCACAGATATGAAAAAACATCTCTGAGAAACTTCAGCTGCCTTTGTGTGCATCACAGCAAAGATGAGGTAAAGGCTTACCATCTCAAAAGCCATGTTTGACTTGTTTCTTTTTCTCATTGCTGTATGGACTTAAATTCCAGTCAGTGCCATTTTTGTTAGAGTAGCACCTTCAGTTCATGACATTTCTTCATTTTTGTCAAACATGTGAATCTAGTAAAGGCACTAGGTCAGACTGCTCTTAGCATTTTTGTGTTCTAGACCCAGAAACAGCATTTATTTATGACACTTCAGTGCCTAAGTAATGCATTTACTGAGTGCACTCCCAGGCATTAATTTCACCAGTCTTTGGCTTTGGTACATCATCATACCATAACTGTGGTTGAACTTTACAATGTAAAGGGACAAAATATAGGTGGAGAGGAAGGTTATCAACTTTTTCTTGCACTGCAATGTTGTTTTACAGCCCAAGCCCCTTCCCTAGTTAATTCCTTCAGATTCCAAGGGTCAACACCAAAGAGGATGGGAGCAATCAGCACATTAACCACAAGTGTTACAAGTCACTCCGTGTCTGCTCTGCTGTCTACACCCAGTAGCTGTGCAGCAGCTTTGACTAAGTTCAACAAATGCATTTTTTTCCAGCTCTCAGGTGACTTCTGTGAGTCACAATTAGACCCCAAGGAAAAAATACCACAAAACCCCAAGCCCACAAACTTCAGCAAACACTAAAATCCTGAAACCCAAATAAGAAGTCCTCAGCTCAGCAGCTGCCTGCAGGCAGGGGTGACAGTAGAGGGCCCAGCACACCCTTCATCCCCCACAGGGGCCTTAATTCCTGTACATTCACACTGTTTGTATACACAGTGCTCCTCCTCACAAGTATCCCTTCTCCTCTGACCCTTCCTGAGGTAGCTGCTGCCAAAATCTGTCTGTGTGAAGGCTCAGCACCCCAAAATCCTTGTGTGTCAGTTTGCAGGCCTGTTGCAGGACCCGTCTTCTGACTTCTTAGGGAGAACAGCGCAGCAAAGTTCAAGTTTCCCTGAAAGTGTTATGAAAATTATTTACATCACAAGTTGGTTTGTCTGTAAAATGGGTCTTCTGACAAGAAGCTCTGCCTGCTGTCTGGAAATTTGGCTCAGAGCAACAGCAAAGTTGCGTTCTTCTTACAGATCCACTCCTTTAAGGTCTGGCAGTTATCTGCCTGGATCACGTTTTTCCTTCTGTAAACAGCACAGTTCTTGTCAGCCTCAATGCTTTTTAAAGCTGTCCTGCTGAGAGACCAAAAGGAATTCAGTGAGTTGCTAGGTCTAAACTTAGCACTACTTAAAAATCCTGGTGGTGCTCTGGGCGAGGGAGTGGATGATGCCTACTTGACCACCCCCTTGAAGCACAGCAGCTGTGCAGAGGTGGGTTAGGCACCCCCAGCAGAGACTGCTGGCTTCTGAGGGATGGATGTTTGGCATTATTAGTGTTACAAAGATAAGGATCCTCCCCATGCAGCCACAATGCTGAAGAAAGCTGCACAGATCCCAGCCAATGCTATGTGGTGACAGGCATCACCTTCAACAGAGGCAGGCAGCACATGGTCTGTAAAGTGAGAGAGTTTTTTGGCAGGGATTTCAGAATTGTGTAGTAATATTTCTGCATTAATAAATATATGAACTGTGGCTGTGGTTAGTCCTGGAGGCAGAAATCAGTTTCTAAAAGTGCCAAGCAGGAACCTGTTGGCCTGAGACTGGCCATGAAATAGACTCTGAATAGGCACCTGAGGCTGCAGGCTTAGATCTGTGCTTTGGGTAATTAGCTCAGATTCAGAATTGTATTTCCAAACAGGGATACCACACTTTGCTTTTCCCAAATATATCCTCCCCCCAAAAATCATCACCTCTTTTCTTTTACTCTGTGATCTTCCACTGAACTCCATGCTTTCTCCATGTCTTTGGTGTCCAAGCCAATCCAGATATACTTGGTATCTTTGTCTTTGTTGTCTATAAATTCCTGTGGAATTATTAGAAGGATGTTATCTGACAGAAGAGCTTTCCTGCTGTGCCCAGGTCACACTCCTGCCTCATGCACAGCTTTTATTTCCTCTTGAAGAGCAAGGGCAGGGATGCATCCTGGCACAGCAGCCCCTTACATCAGCCCACACACATGACCAGCCTCCTCTCTTCTCAGAGCCAAGCAGTGGAAAGTCCCCCAGCATTTCCTCTTCCCAGTCAAAACTACTCTGGTTTCCACACTTGGCACCTCTTGTGCTTCTCCTCTTCAGCTCTGCTCTGCTGACATTCCCAAACAGCTCCTGGGCAGGGAGACTCAGATCCTTTTCTCAGGGGCTTCTTGCTTGTCTATGTGTACTCTTGATATCCAGGCCATTTTCTCTTGGAGGAATGTTTGGCTGAGACCTGAGAAATGTTTGGTGAGACTGCTGCAAGACTCACCATCTCAACATCATCCTCAATGACCAGCAGCTGGGACTTCCTGGCCAGGCAGTTTTTCTGGCTGTCCTCCCAGCTCCTGGCCTCCTCAGAGAAGAAGTAACATCTGCCCCTGTGCAGCTGCCAGCCGGGGGGACACAGCTCGCATGTCCCTGTGGGTGGATAGGGGAATATTTAGCTCCTGCAATAGATGGAATTCCTCCCCCTGTTTATGAACAGAGGGGAATGTTATGTCTGGAAAGTGTTCTCCAGGACAATAGGAGGATATATGGCTTTTCTGGCAGCAGCTCCTGGCAGATAGAAATTTAATCAAAATACTGGAAACTTTATATTAACAGAGGAGCAACACATGATTAAAATGCTAGTTTAGATTTTGTTATCACTGCTCTGCAGGAGCACCTTGCTTTCTGAATTCCCATAATAAACTGCAGGGTGTCAGAGAAATGGGAACAGAGTCCATTGTGCACCTCACACATCCTCTACGCTGGAAAGGAGTAACATGCCTCACCCTGTCCATCTTCACACAGCTCCTCCATGAGCTGTTTCAGGAGCGCTGCTGAGACAGTCCTCTCTGAAGAAATGTCATTGCTGGTGCTGTTCAGACCATAGTGAGGCAAACTTTTTGATTTTCCTGCTCTGCCCTTCAAAACTTGAACAGCCCAAAGTAAAAAAAAAAATAGTAAGAGAGAGAGGTCATGGTTAACAACAAGGATAAGGAAATGCAGTCTTTGTACCCAGAGCTGGACTGTGAATGTGAGGATGTCTCTGTGTACATTGCCTGGTATAGACACAGTTATGAGCAAACTCAGGGAGTAAAGCTCAGTGGGCAAAGCCCTCCTGAGATGTTCATGGAATGGCCTGGCTTGGAAAGACTTTAGAGATCATTTCATTCCAAAACTCTCCGGCTATGATCAGGGACACCTCCCACTATCCCAGGTTGCTCAGAGCCCCACCCAGCCTGCTCTTGGACACTGCCAGGGATGGGGCAGCCACAGCTTCTCTGAGGATCCTGTGCCAGGGCCTCAGCACCCTCACAGGGAAGAATTTCTTCCTAGTATCCAATCTAAACCTCCTCTCTGTCAGTGTGAAGCCATTCCCTCCTGTCCTGTCACTCCAAGCCCCTGTCAAGAGTCTCTCATTTCCTGTATTTGTGTACAAGTGGACCCTTTTAGTGCGACACTAAGGGAATTTTTCTGTCAGCTCTTTCAGAGGTTTAAACATGTCTGCAGTGAAGGGGTGAAGCAGGAGGCAGGATCTACTCACACAGCTTGGCTTGTATGGCCACAACTCCCAGCAGGATGAGCACGAGGACTGCCAGGACCAGCGCCACATAAAACCAGGCTGAGAACCTGTGCCGGCACCCTGCAGGGAGGCAGGAGGAAGAGCAGCTTAAGATCCTGGTCCTCTTAAATTTAACACTGGAGAAACAGAGTAATCATCTGCCTAAAATCAGTCTGCTGTCAGGAGGATGCAGTGGCATTTTACTTATTAAAAATCTGCATCCATTTTGCACACATGGAAGTGAAATCAAAATGTTTGGTCTCATAGAGCAAGTGATTGTCAACCATTAAGAATTTGCCTTTTCTCCTTTGACTTATTTTTCTCAAGCATTGCCTCCTCCCACCTACCCACACACATCTCCAGGACCTTGCAGAGCAATTCGGGGAGAGTATCAAGAATGGGCTGTGGTGTCAGGGACAGGCTGTGGTGTCTGTCAGGGTTGGCTGTGGTGTCAGGGACAGGCTGTGGTGTCTGTCAGGGATGGCTGTGGTGTCAGGGATGGGCTGTGGTGTCTGTAAGGGATGGGCTGAGGTGTCAGGGATGGTTGTGGTGTCAGGGATGGGCTGTGGGGCGGTCCTCCTCTCTGCTCCCAAGCGTTACTGTTCCCGTCCTGCAGTGCAAAGATAACTTCCCTAAATGCACAGGAAAAAAAGCCCCATACTGACACCTCCTGGCACGGCACAGGGAAGTGCATCAAACCAAGCATCTCTCCAGCTGTTTGGCATTCATCCTGTGACAGAGCAAAACACTCAGGAAGCTGCAGAACCCGAGGAAATTTGGGGTTAAGGTGCCAGTGCCACGAGACACAGATGTGCACTGTCATAACCTCTGTTTCCCTGACCTTGCCTGCATGAGATAAGAAACTGTTCCATCCTCTGGCTGCCTGACTTATCTGGTATAATGTTCCCAGTACGGGGAGGGTGACAATCACCAGGGCACTAATGGTACATAGAGACCTGGGCATTACCCTGCTTTCAAAGCCAAATGCATCCCTGAGACTTCCTCCACAAGAGTTCTAAAAAAACCATAGAATTTTACTTTGCTTTACTACATTTCCCATGTAGGGCACAAAGGCATTCTTAGAAATTATTTTTAAAACATCTCTCAGTATTATTTTTTAAAGGAAAATGTAAAATCTGAGAAGCCAGGGTAAAAAACAGCAGATGAAGCGACAGATCAACCCTTCATTGAGAGGGTGTACATAAAGGCTCTTGATAACAGGTTTCACTGGTGGGTAATAGGAAACACTCCATCTATAATTAGTAACCAAATAAAATTGCACAGTACCAGGAGCGGAAGTCTCTGCTCTGCTGTTCTCTTGGGGTTGGGGCTTCACATGCAGCTCAGCATATGTGATCGTGTTTCCTGTAAGGAGAGGGCAGTGCTGACATTTGTGGCTGTGCCAATCACCAAGTGGAAGAACAATAAAGGCACAGCCTGCATGAAAAGGGGTGTGTGTTTCCAGGGCTGTTTGTTCAGCATTTTCCTTTTCCTAGGCAATGGTAGGCAAGATGATGATTTACCACTTCCTCCTGCTGTCAGGCAGGAAAAGCCTCCTTCATAAGTCTTGAACTGTTGAGTGCTGGGTGGCTGGAGCAGGAGCCAGACAAATAGGCTGAAGGATGGGAAGGACCTGGATCCCATCCATGACAAACATCCCATCTGTTGCTAAGCCGTCTCAGAAGGTACCACAGGGGCTGGAGGGGCACCAGACCCGCCACTGCTTTGTGGGGCAGAGAGGTGCCAAATGAAAACTAGCACTCAAAGAAATGTTGCTGCAGCAGGGTAATTCCTGGGGACGTTCCTGACTTGTGAGTGTTTATCCCAGGATATTTCAGGTGCTGCCTGTAGCGGCAGAGGAACGGACCTGATGGTTGAAAACATCCTTTTCCAAACGCACGTTGCCAAAACAAAACCAAAAATGGCATTAAAATCTCACAGTGTGGGTTCATGGATCTTTCTGAAGATGTTTTCAACATCATTTACTTGGGTAATTTGAAGAGCTACTGATTACTGTTGTGAAAGTATTTGGACCTTTGGGACACTGCTTTTGGTTCCATAAATTGAGAGATTTTATCCATCTGTATCAAGAATAAGCTTCTGTGCTACCACCCTAGTTTGTAACCACTGGGGCTCTTAAAAAGAAGTGTTGTATTAAATTTCACTTATCAGGGAAAAGCATGGCAGAAGAAGAGAGTCTCATTAGGTTAAAATGAGGCAGCATTTCATATGAGAATTGCTGAAGTATGGAGAGGTTTTACAGTTAAAAAAATCCACTGAGAACCTGATTGGCAAATAAAGGTATTCATGTAGGGGAGACAGTCTATGCTTTAGAGAATATGACCTAATACACTTAGTTGTTTGCTTTATTTCAATTTATTAGTTCAATGAACTACAGAAAATTTGTAAATGAAATGTAATTGTTCTCAAATCAAATGCCCTAAAAGTTTTCCTTCTTAGAATGTAAATAATTTTCCAAAACCACTCAGGACTTTTAAACTTTAACATGCACTAGCCCTGTAAATGGAGGTACTTCTAAAACAAGTACATTAGATATTCTGCTATTATTAGTAAATAATTTGTCTCTCAAATGCAAATTTATTCCTTCAAAGAATATTTCCAAGCCTGTTAGAAAAAAAGTCATCCATGCAAGCCAAGATTTAAACAAAATCATTCCTTCTATTACAGTGTGTACGGGCTGGTAAGATTATTTAAATACTGGAATGATTATTTGAATGTGAAGTCCTTGGAAATCAGCAAGGGCTTATAAAACACCACATAACTTTAATTCTCCTGGATGCTTCCACACCCTCACCTAATTCAATAACAAGGTGGAGATCTCTGTCAGCCACTGAAACTGAAATTTCACTGTTCTTCCCTGTGCATGTTGTAAGGTGCAGAAAAACATCTCTGTTTATTGGAAGCTTCTGTTTGGTGAATGTGCAGACAGGGACCTCCTGGGGAGGTCCATTAGGGAATGTTGTGTCCAGATGTGGGCCAGCACATCCAGGGGGAAGCTCCAGAGGCTCCATCTGGACCTGGTCAACACCTGGAGGAGCCCAGGAGGTTAAGGAGAACAAGAAGTTAAGGGCACAACCAATGGCAGGCTACAACTGCTTGTGGGTTCGTTTCGTGGTAGACTTGAACTCTCCTTGGTTTGTCCTTCTACCAAGGAAAGTTCTGGTAGCCACTCAGAATTCATAAACAGGCAACTCTCAAATTATCTGTGAGGGAACCAGGACACAAAAACGGCCAGAGTCTTTCGCTGGAAAATGGATTCCCAGGTATGTTTGTCCTTGCTGGGATTTAGGAACATTTTCTACTTTTCAACACCTGGTTTGAAGCACGTGCACGGTAACAGCACCTGCAGCTAGCAAAGCCTGTGCATAGATAGTGCCATTGCAAAATCCTCCTCAACACACTCTGGCAGAGCACCCAAGAATCCCCTCATCCCTGTTGTCCAGAGCACCTGAGTGACAGCTGAAGTCCAACAGTAAGTCCAAGCCAAATCAAACAAAATGTATTTGAGTATAATCAGACATAAGAGTGGGTTAGGTGAGACTGTGAGCTATAAACAGTGAAGAAAAGATTAGTTAAGAGATTTTGTCTCTGTATATTTGACATAGAATAACTAAGGCTTGTAGAAATGCTGGGTGGATCTCTGGTGCCTGTTTTTTGAAGGGGATGGGAGCACTGGAGTATGAACAGAAGAACATTCACAAAAATTATTCGCATTTTTGAGAAGTTAAATATTTAAAGGAAAAGGGCATTGAGAAATCCCTTAATTACCATGGCCAGTAACTTCATGTGAGAAAATATCAAGAGTTAAAATTAGTTCAACAAAAGTTTACTAAGAGCCATCCAGATGTTAATGATAAATTTCATTGGAACTGGCCTGTCCAAAACTTTTCCTTTAGGCAGCATGGTCAAAGAATAGTTTTGGATGTCTTCTAATCAAGATTTGATGTCTGTCTCCCTTGACAAAGAAGTTTTATCACTTTGGATACTGGGTAAAATTCCAGGCAAACCCTCTTTGTGTTGCACAGGTTACAGCAGTGCAAACAACATCCATAAGTGCATGAACACAGAGTCTAAGGTAGTATTTCATGCCATATATATTATGAAGTGAACTAATTTTTATCTTTTGGATACCAGTCTTGTAAAAATATATAAAAGGTATTATTTTCTGTCATTTAAGTGCATGTATTCAGAAGAGCACCATCATCACTATTAATCTCCATTGTAAGTAGAACATCTAAAAATGCTCTTTACACAATGTTATTTCCTTAAGGGATTAAATACAATAATTACTAATGAAAGCATGTTGTGTCATCATCCTTCGTCTGATGCCACAAACATTTCCTATTTGCTCATAATAAGCTATCATTCATGTTAGATGTGATCCAGAATTTTGTCCAAATGCTTTAATGAATGAATTAAATTCTTTTTCTAAGTAGTAGAAATGTCACCTCTTCAGAAATTTAGTTCAAATAATCTCCTTACCATGAATAATGACTTAATCCTTTGAGGCTTTTTTTACAAAAATATGAAGTGATCACAGATTGATAATTTGGTTCTAGAAAATCACCACTGGAAAATTAAAGAGATGGGGCAGGAAGATTTCAGGGGACATTCAGAACTTCCTTCAGTGACAGTGGCTGCACTTTAGACTGCTACTAGTTTCCTGATTTACTGGTTAATTTTCTGCTCCTTTTCCATGAATATAAACATTGATCTGATTTGTGGGCTAGGTAGTAATTCAGTGGAGCATTGTCTTGATCATGTTACTCATTTAAAAAGAAATATTATGCTCATTACTCAACCAATGAATACTTTTTCTTTCTCATTCTGTTACTTAAACCCTGGGACCAGACCTGAGCTGCTGCTCCTTGGTGGTTCTGCTTTGGGAGCAGCTTGGCTGATTCGTACTATGAGGATCTCATCCACTATTCCACCTCCTTGCCCTTCCCATGCAGAAAGTTATGGCATTCTTCTAGTTTTACCCAATTTAAAATGTGAGAGAGAAAGAGAGAGAGAGCTCAAGACAGCAGAAGGTGTGTGCCCAAGAGGTTTTACCTGGGTTTGATGTCCCTGAAGGAGCGTGTGGCCTTTCCCTCGGCAGCATTGCCACGGCCGCATAGGTGACATCCTCTGCCATCCGTGAGCCCGTCCCTCAGAGCTATGGAAAAAGCAGCTTTAACTCAGTCATTTGCATCCTGTCTCAATTTGCCTGCCTCCACTCACATGCTGTGCTATGGCTCTGAGGAAGGCTGAGAAATACAAAAAAAGGAAGTCACTGAGTTACTTCTTTCAGTGCAGCTTCAAAGCCTGTTTTCAGCCCCCATTCTGTCTCTTCTTGCCCTTCAGAATACAGGAGAAAATGAAGATTAAAGCCCATCTTTTCACTAATATATGAGAAAAAATCTTGTTGGTCAAGCAGAGGGGATTCTCTAAGGAATTCCCAAAAATGGACTTACACCAGTATGAAAGGTTTGCTGGTTCTCAGGAGACTAGAGAGTACAATTTCTGTGCTGTGGCTGTTTTGTGCTTCTGTGCATGATCTGACACAGCCTATCCACCTTAAAGAAAGATAAACAAGAAGTACATGTAACAGTGTAAGATGTCTTGGGGTTAATGTACTGCAACCACACAGCCTCAAAAATGTAACGCAAATTCTAACCTGCTCCACCCACGAAGCACTTCAATGGTTTAACAGCCGAATTGAGGTGATATTGATGATGCATTAACATGAACTCAAAATAAAATTTAAAAAAATTATCAATCCTTTTTACAAGAATTTTTCCATACTTTACTGTAACAGTAGTTACAAGGAGCTGCTGTTCCTACATTGCTTGGACTCTTTCCTGCTTGAGCCAACAAATCTACAGATGGAAAACCTGAATTTTCTTGCCTTTATTACCTTAAACTCCTTTTTCATTACCCACATGTTTGCTGCAGGATATTTTGATTACATTGTTTTTGTCCTCTGTTTCAGGTCAGGGGGAGGCCTCACAGATTTTGATTGAACCATGAACACCTTCTAAAACCTAAAAATACATTTAAAACACTCAGACACTGAGTCCTGTGCATGGCATTTCCTGCTCTGGGTTTTGTACCTTATTCCCACTTAGAAAATTCCCTCCAAGTTCAACACAGAAAAGGTCTGCAAACCTACACAGGTCTGCTGAAAATAAGGTTTATACAGGCTGTTTGCAGGTTTTTGTTACATTCAAAGGGACCTGAAAAAAAACCAAAGTTTGGGGCTGTAAGCTTCTATTACTGATTTTTCCTTTACGGTCTTAAACGCTGGTAACAGTGTTAAGTGCACAAACAAAAAGGTGTTGGGGGGGAAAAAAAAGAACCTTTGATAGTCATGGAACAGATTAGTCAGAAGTGCTGCCTGAGTATGATTTATAAGCGATGTATCTAAATCATGATGGGTTCATTATCTGATAATAAATGATAAATCTATACTGTGAGCTGCGTCTGATAAGGTTTGTTTCACAGACACCTACATAGCAGCCATACCACCAGGCCTCACATGGAACAGAACTTTGTCCTCTGAATCAGTTTTCCCCTGAACTTCTCAGCATCCTTTACAGCAGGATAGTTAGGCTCTGAAATGGAAAAAAATATAACCAAAACTCAACTCTGAACCAAACATAATTTCCTTATTTGGGGTTTTTCTGAAATTTTAGTCCATAAAGGAGACTTAGAAGGTAGGTTGTTTGAATTCTCAGTCTCTTTCCATCACTGCACACACACTTCAGCAGTCTGTTCTCACATGATTTCCTCCTAAACCTGTCAAAACCATCCAGAGGTAACCATGTACAGTCTTGAGGCCGTTCCCTCTTCTCCTGTCCATTGTTCCCTGGGAGCAGAGTCTGACATCCCCTGGCTGCCCCCTCCTGTCAGGGAACTGTGCAGACCCAGAAGGTCCCTCCTGAGCCCCTTTTCCTCCAGGCTGAGCCCCCCCAGCTCCCTCAGCTGCCTCTTCACAAGCTGTAATCTGGGTTGAGTTTAATTTATTGCATGATCCACCTTCACCGTGTGTCTTTTGGGTTCTCCAGGTAGAGCCTTGCCTCAGCCTCTTCTTTCCTCCCAGGAAATGAATCTGGATTAATATGCAGACCTTACAGAACCCTGTGAGGCCCCTAAAATACCAGGGGTTGTGTATCAAACATCCATATGTCTGGGGAGGGGGCAGTGGTGTTTTAGCCTTGAATTTTCAGACTTTTTGGCAGAACATGGAGATATCTGAGGGTCTAGACTCTCTTGCAGCACCTGTAAGGAAAGATAGTGGGATTTTTGTGTGGGATTTCTCTGCACATCATGTAGAGCTTGACAGCCTGGAGCTTCAGGGGCTCTGTGGGGAGAGGCAAAGGGATGCAAGCTCATGTCATTCCCCATCCTGACGTGGTCCTGGGTGCACACGGACTCCCCCCTGCCAACTGCCAAGCCTGAGTGATGTCACTGAGTAATGTTCTGGTGGCAGCACATTTACCAGTTCCATCTATGCACAGAACAAACATGGTGACAACTGCAGATGCCACCTCTTCTTGTGGGTGTGACAGCATCACCTTCACTGCATGTGGAGGCAAAGGCAGACTGAAAACAGTGACGTGGGCTGCAAAGCAGAAGTCAGCAAAGCAGAATCCAGCCCCTCCTGCCACAGAACAGGCAGCTCAGCCCAGGACTCCAGCTGCCTCATAATGCACATTTGAAAGAATTTGAACTGCCAGTCGGACAATAAAATGCATTCCCAAAGGCTGAGCTGAAACACAGAGGCTTCCAGGCTAAACTGAGGGAGTCCCATGAGTAAATGTCCAGTTTAGGTTTCAATTCTAAGCCTCTGCTGTGTCACAGCAGAGCCTGTTTGTATGGCAAAGTGCAAAAGCAGCACCCAGAAGGTATGATCAGAGCTAGGGCTGAAACACAGGCGCCATAAAGGAATGTCTGTACATGGTTATCCCACACTGCAGCAGGAAAAAAGATGTAATTTAAACTTTTAAACTCACAGGCTGAAATTTATTTATCTATTTTGTTAGTCCTTCCCTGCTGTGCTCTATTCTGCCATACAGACATGGTCTGCCTTGCTTCAGGTCTAGCAGAGCTCCTGTCTCTTACCCTCATGGCTGAGAAAGTCTGGGTTTTGGGTATCACTTTAACCTGCATGTTTCAGAGCACTCAGCAAAGGGCATAAATTCCAGGATGCAGTTGGAAAAGCAAAAATAGAAGGACTTGCCTGAGCCCATCAGCAGACCAGGGGCAGGGGCCAGAAGGCTGCCCAGCACTTCTGTCCCTCAGCACAACACCCTTTTCTGAAGGTGTGCTGGGTTAGGCTGGGACAGAGCTTTTTTCATTCACAGGAGCCACCATGGATTTGTGCTGGGAGTGGTGTGGGTGACAGCTTTCATTAACACAGGGGTGTTTTAGCTATTGCTGAGCACTGATTGCACAGCATTGTCTCTGCTTCTCACCCCCCTCCCTCCAGCAGCCAGGAGGCTGCACAGGAGTTGGGAGGGGACACAGCTAGGACAGCTGACCCCAGCTGACCAAAGGGATTTCCCACATGGCATCATGATCATTATTTAAAGCTGGGGGAAGAGAGCACAGGGATGTTTTGAGTGCTGGTGTTCCCCAAGTCACAGTTATGTGTGTTAGAGCCCTGCTCTCCTGAAGGTGGCTGAGCACCTGCTGCCCATGAGAAGCTGTGAGTTAAATCCTTCACATTGGCCTCAGAACAGATTAGTATAACAATGCAGATGATGCAGCCCCTAAATTATGATGTTTGCATTGGAGGAGGGTCAAACTTAAGGGAAGTTGGATGTATAAGAATCCAGCTTGAACAACAAAGAGCGAGCAGTGAGATTATGTATTGCTTGGATGGAATTAACACATTGGAATTAGTCCAGCCTGTAAGATTTGCTACCAGGGAACTGCAGGAGTGGAATTGGAGAAGGAGGCTAAGTGTGAAACAGGATGTTAACAGGAGTGCCCAGTGTTTTGTGGATCTTGAATGTGGGGAAACAAGGAAGTAGAAAGAAGAGCAGTACAGAAGAACAAGAAATCCTTTTCACTACTAAGTTTATCACCACTGAGAGGTTTCAGTAAAGAATCCCAGGATGGGTCAGGCTGAAAGGGACCACAGTGGGTCACCTGCTCCCACCTCCCTGCTCCAGTAGGGCCATTCTAGGGCACAGGATTGTGTCCAGACTGGAATATCTCCTGGGACAGAGGCTCCACAGCCTCTCTGGTCTCTGTTTCAGGGCTAAGGCACTGCCCAGGGAAGAAGTTCTGCTTCCTCTGTAGGTAGAACCTGCTGGAATCAGTCCCTGCCCATTCCTCTGATGCCATTGCTGGGCCCCTGGAGTAGAGCCTGGACCCTGCTCAGAGCCCTCCCTGCAGACAGGGACACCCAGGGCTGAGGGCCCCTCTCAGCTGGGGCTCCTCTGGAGGCTGGACAGCCCTAGCTCCCTCAGCCTTTCCCTGCCAGAGATGCTCCAGGCCCTAAATCATCTCTGCATCCTCCACTGGCCCTGCTCCAGGAGCTCTCAGTGCAGTTGTAACAATGGACAAACTGGAACAATTCACATCACAAACATTGCACACAATTTATCCTGCTATGCTGAGTAATTGATACTGGCTCTTGATTTCTCTTCTGTTAAAAATTGTTCTTATACAAATGTCCAGCTAGTATTGCTCATGCACTGAACATCAGAGCTAATTAACTATTTGGAAACTGGATGTCTAAGTTCTCTGACGGTTGGGATTTTATGATCTGAGAGGATCTTCCCTGGGACACTTCAAAGAATACAGTTTAGCAACAGAAGTTTGAAAGCCTTCCACCACAAATCTTTGTTCCTTGCTGCTCCTGATGCTTTTGACAAAATCTCCAAAAGTTGTTGAAAAGAGCTTAGGGGACAGTAAGCTACTGTCTTACAGTGTTAATTTCAGTTATTCCTAAATATTCTTTAGATGTTGTCCTGAAAACAAACCAAAGTGAAACAAACCAAACAAACAAAAAGCAAAACCAAACACAGACAGACACAGAGAAAATCCCCCAAAACCTATAAAAACCACCAAAACCGAGATGACCTCTAAGTGTGATTCTAAATGTGTGCTGCAGGAGAAGAGAGCAACAGGTGGCCATTGTGCTTTGAACTGAAGCCAGGCAGTAGCAGGACTAGGAAAGAAACTGTGCAGTGTAAATTACACAG